GGTGTAACTATTTGTTAAATCAGAAATTTGAAGAATTATAATAAGTTTTAGACCAGGAATTAACATTAAAGTGAACATTGCTATTTTGTCATAATTAGCGTTATTATTATTCATCTTCGTAAAAAAGCAACTCTGTCTTAATCTTTTGGTTTAATGAATTTAGATTCTACATGGCACATGAACAATTAGCAGTTGGTTGTAAATTATGATAATAATATATATTCGCAAAGTTGATCATATACAGGAAAACTAGTTTTGCACATATTAGAACTTTCTCTTCAAAATTGCCATATGTTGTGTTACAACTCTAAAATGAATTCACTTAATAAAAGGGAATGGACTGTTGCGTTTTACATAAGAATTTGATAACAACAAATGTGTTTCCTTTTATTGATATTCACGTCGTTAAATTACTATTAAACATTAAGATCTAAATCTCCAAATAAAAAGAAATTTCTGTACAGATTATTGTGTCATCGTTTTCTATGTCAATTCAACGGAATAGTCATTATTTCTAGAAGGGAAATTTGTTCTTCTTTAGATATATGAATAATATAACATAAATCGTTTTTGTTGGTTTTGTTTTCTACTTTTGAGATATATTATATATTGATATCATATTTTCAGATATGATATCTCATCGATTAATTGGAGGTCAAGGTAACTTCGATGGAGTCTTGGACCTTAGTTATAATGGCAATTGGGGAGTATTTTGTAGAGGGAGTTCTTTCACAGACAATGATGCAACTGTTGTTTGTAAAATGCGAGGTTTCATAGCCGGGTAGGTGAATTTCCTTTGATAAAGATAATTATTTTAAGAAGTATTTTACAACACAACTAGACAAAAAAGAGCAAAAATATCTTGTCATTGTTTGCAATTGATATTTGTGAAATGATATATGCTTTATATATATTATACAGATTAACACTCTACTGTAAATACTTTCCAAATAAATACATTCACTTTCTTATCATTTCATAGCGTAGTTGTAGATGGATCTATATATGGTCAGTTAAATTACGGTACAATATGGACAGGGAGTATGGGGTGTATTGGAACGGAATCTCATATAAGACTTTGCAGGAAATTCACCCAAGCATTTGGACACAGTACAGCATGCAATCATAATAGCTCTGTCGGAATAATTTGTAGCAGTAAGCTATTACCACAATTTCTGTTTTACAAAGTGATATATTATGTGTCATATTTGAAGTATCAAACAAAAGAAACAAACAAACAAACAAAAACAATATTTAGAGGAATTCATAAACGTTATTTGTATCAGAAAATTGAACTATGTTCCGTCATTTCTTCTTATTTAGAATTTATGTTTGCAGTATACTATGTAGATAGCAAGATCATAACGTAAAAAACAAAAAGAAGTTTGTCCGAATCGCAAATGTTACCTTTTAACGTGTTGATCTTTTGTTCGACGAAATTAGCACTTAATTCGATTTAGGTTATTGTAATAGTGATGCTGTTCTTATCAAATAAATTATTTAATAACATTTTTGACAAGTTATATGGCCTTTTATAAGGAGCATTTATACCCCATGCCGGAGACAAGGGTGATATTGCAAATAACGGTTTATGTTATTTAAGTTGCAGTTAACTTCCTTAAATTGAAGCAAAAACATAATACTAAGTACTTCATAAATTGACAGCAACCTTGTATATAGTTTATATAAATATCAGGATTATCCAATGACAAATTATGTGACAAAAGTGCAGTAATGTTATATAAACTTTATATTGCTTTATATTTTCACAATATAGACCACACATCTGTAAGACTAGTAGGCAATACACTTCCGTCAGAGGGTCGAGTAGAGATTCATCATAATGGTGTTTGGGGGACAGTATGTGGGGCTCATTTTACACAAAACGATGCCAATGTTGTTTGTCACATGCTTGGATTTAGTAAAAAGTAAACTTTAATATTATATTTTAAGATGCAAAATATTTTATGTGTATTGGAATCGGAACCATAATTTGTAATACATGTTCAGAAATACTTTTGTTCCGAATAATACTAAAATAATAATTCAACGAAGATTTCGTCACTTTTATAATAGATCTTTTAAATAGGAATAGGTTTATCCGTTTAAGTCTGTGGAATTGAACAACATGAGAGTGACACATTTGTTTACTTCTTTCTCTAAAATAAAGAGTTATGCACAAAACATCGGGTGGCAATTAGTAAATAGTAATGGGAAATTATGTTTGCACAATGAATGCTAATTTCCTAGTTATATAATTTTTTGGTAAAATCTATATCCGAAAAAGTGTATATATATTTAAAAATCTTTTACTTCTAGGTGCCTGAAATTTTGATTATTTGATAAAAATGTACATGTATAGTTTTGCTTTCCATTAAGCGCCCTGAGCATACATAGGAATGTAACAGGAGGACAAGGGCCAGTTTGGTTGAACACCTTGGGCTGCTCTGGTAGTGAAGCAGATATTGAGTATTGTAGTCATGGAAGCTGGGATAATCACACTTGTAGCCATACAAATGACGTATCAATAAAATGCCGTAAGTGTGTATATTAAAATGATTTTTTTCAGGCATTTCAAATTTATTTCTTACATTCAATAACATGTTTCATTATTTCATAAGATTATTATCAAATATATATTAATAAAAGGAAACCTTAATTGCCAATGTTTCTCTGAACAACCTCAATCAAATTGTGCTTGCGGTATTTATAATTTTTTCGCGTCAAACGATTTGTAAAGTTTCCATTTTGTCTATGTAGTGTTGACCCGCTAGATTATAACTATATATAATTAAATAAGTAATAAATAAAACCGGTCAAACAATTTACAGAAGTTGTTGAATGAGTTAAGGACAAATACTGAATGAATTGTACGAGTTGAATAAAATTATATTATGCGAGCCTCTTGCGAGAAAATTTTTTTTGAGTTCAATAAATTCGGTAATAAACCTTCACAGATAATAATTTGTTTAATCACATACCCAAAATAAAGACTGTTTAAAGTGCGAAAGAATCATTTTTGCATTGACGCACCTTTTGCGCAACGCTTACATTTTGCGCGTCTTTACGCTATCTTTTTATATCGCAAATATCGGCACGTCAACTATATGCACGACCGTGCAATACCATTATTACGTAGTAGCAAAATTGGAACGGGTATGTGATTAATCACATGTTCATTTTGAATTTTATTTCATCTCACACAAAAATTCCAAAATGAGCCACTTTTGAACAGTTCATAATCATCATATGAAGTTTACTTAACACATGAGTTTAAATTTGACAGAGGCTACACAAGTTCGCCTTTTCGGTGGATCGGGAGATTGGGATGGAACATTGGAAATAAATTACGAGGGAAGTTGGCGAACAGTTTGTGATCCAGACTTTGGACAGAACGAAGCACGTGTTGTATGTAACATGCTCGGATACAATTTAACGTAATATTTTTATGCTCTTTTGTTTGTTTTTTTTCCAAGATATTATGTGAGAAACAGGTGTCTTTTGTTTTTATAAATCTGCAGCGTCAAGACTATAGGTGTAAATGTGCACCTGCCTGTCTTATTCCCTACAAAGGTATGGCACTGTACATATGAACAAATTAACATGTATTTTGCACGACAGCGTAAGTAAAAAAATGTTTGTTACCAATACAATGCTGTTATCATGTAATAAACAATATTTGAAACATACAATAAATGATTTTGTTTCACTTTGTTATGTTGCATAATATATAATAAAAGTTTATGCGAAGAAAATTTCATTCGATTTCGGATCATATCCTACAACGTCATTAATACAAAACGGTTTTTGTGAAGCCATGCTTGCTCAAGTTGATGTTGTGAAATCGAGTTAAAATCCTTATCTTTCAGTGACGTGAAACATTACGTATATCAGTCCAATTACTTTGGCGACACTAAAGCTGGTGTTCTTGATAAAGTGAAATGTGTCGGAAATGAAAAGGACATTAGTCAATGCGTATCTTCTTTCCAGACCACGTGCTCGGTTTCGAACGCCGTTGGTATAAAGTGCGGTAAGTAAATTGTATCAATAGTTAAAGACTTATTGACGTGAAGTTATTCAATATATTCACAATATAAACAATTCACTATGTAACGATTAATTGTTTTGTATTATTTGTATTTTTCCGAATTATGATGAGGGTATTATAAATTGTTGAGAACATTAATGAATTCTATTGGATGAGTACACAGCTGTTAATCTATATTGCCCGAAACGCTATCAGAGTCGAATATATATTTTTAAGCTTCGTGCAAGTTCAATAATGCATAATGACCGCTAAATTTCGCAACAATATTTTTTATATTTTGGCAGAAATTTTTATTATTTAAGTGCAATATATCAAATAATTATGTTTTAATGGTGAAAATGATAGATATTCAAAGGTTACTTTTGTGAAATAATCTATATTAACTGGCTACTGGACGTTGTCGGTGATGATGAGCTTCGTGGACTCCGTATTTTTGATTGTTGTGCTTTTTACCTATATTAACCGAATCACTATCCGAAACTATGTAGAATTTTAAGCTTCCTTCAATTCAATAATGTATAATGACCACTTGTTTGTTGTGCTCTTAACTTATTTTGTTGGGTCTATTTCCGATTTGATTAAGATGGAATACAAGTGCGTCTTGCTGATGGTCCACATAAAGGTATTGGTCGTATAGAAGTGTTACATAATGGACAATGGGGCTCAGTTTGTGATACAAATTGGGATGATAATGACGCTGTTGTTATTTGCAAAATGCTGTCTTCATATCCCTTTGAGAGGTATTTATATATAAAGTATAATAACATTGTCATAACAAATTATACTTATTGTATCTAATGCATGTATTAACATTAAACTAAACTACTGCTTTCTTCATAAGGATCTCTCATATAATGATCTTTTTAAATTCATCTGAATGAGTCTGTGGGTCATTAGTATTTTCAATTACTATTTCTGTATTATTGTTATAATCCTTTCTTTGCTATTTTAGTCAAGTAACAGCAAAAGCGGTATCCGGGTCATTATTTGGAAGAGGCAATGGACGTGTTTGGTTGTCGGACGTACAATGTACAGGAAATGAGGCAGACATTTCGAACTGTTCTATGTCGTGGTCGAGTGGTGTTAATTGTGACCATTCCAATGATGCTGGGGTAATATGTGACTGTAAGGAAATCAATTAAATTAACTATTCTTGTATTGGGTTGAGTCGCTTTCCTGGATTAAAAACGATAAGATTTGATTTCATGATCATGGTAAGACACACATATGTGTGTTAAAGTGATACAAATGTCATATAAAGTTTTGACCTTCGAAATCGTTTGTCTGCATGTTGAAGTAGCTACCATTTATTTTCTGTAAACACAGCAATGACTTTAAAATGATAAGCAATTATTTCTACATGTTCTAATCAATTTAGTATGCTAATGATCTCGTTTGATGCACGTCAGTAATTTATGCAAGATACCGTCAATGTTTCCAGACTGTTTTCAAACTTCGGCCTATGCAGAATTTTACATTATAAATAACGCTTTCTATTGAAGATCCATTACAAAAAAGACTAGCAGATGGACGATCAAAGTCGCAAGGTCGTGTGGAATTTCTCGAGTCTGGAACATGGTATTCGTATTGTGATGACGGTTGGAACAAAAGCGATGCTAGAGTCATATGTAGGGAAATCGGATACTGGTATTCATACATTTTTAATATCATAAGCTAATATTGTATTGCGTTTCAATTACTTATAGCTACTTTTAAGGCGGATGTCTAAGAAATAAATTCAAAATTATTGGGCAAACATTTTTTTTATAATGTTGCTGTTATAATTAATTTAGAGCATGTAAAATACTTAAATAGAATAACACTTAATGTGAACTGCTTTGTATAATATGAAGCAAACTGTAATCAAAATGATGTTATTATAATAACAACCATGATATATAAAGTATCTTCTATATATCTCAGGAACACAGATCCTGTCGTAAGCTACAACTCTACATATGGAAAGGGTAGAACAACTTATCTTGTAAGACCAAAATGTGATGGCAGTGAAGGTAGTTTTGAGATGTGCAGAATGGACAAGTTATTCAAAAGTTCAACATGCTCTGTCTCAAATAGTGTAGGCGTTGAATGTAAACCAGTTTCTGCTGGTAAGCAGCTTTCAAAATGTTTCTTTTATCAGTAATGATAAACAGTTATTATTCATGTATAGATATTTTGTAGCGACATTAAACCATTTTGGCTTTGTTTAATTTTCAGTCATTTTGGTCATCATGAAAACATTTCTCAGAAAAAAAATAGTTGTACTCTTAAACAAATGATATGGGACATAGAATATTTTTTCTTATAAAATAGAAAGCTAACAGGTCCCTTAATAAAGCCCAAAACGACAAAATTGAAATTGTTAAATGCTCGCTTTTGACAGAGCCTGGTCATGTACTGTACTGGAAAGTATAGTGTAAGTTACCGTCTACACAAACTTACACCGGCTTCAACAGTATTAAGCATGTAACATGAAATGGTTTAATTTATAAATTGTAAATTCCGCATATGTGTTTATAAGGCGATTGTTATGGGACCTTCAATGTGACACGTTAGTGCAATTCGATTAAAATAATGGCGTATGACCCCGCAAGTAAAAGAGTGAGTGTGCTTTAAACGAGAGAAAAATGGACAGAACTAAATAAGTTAGAATTTTAAAAGGAGATCAGAGGTTATGAAGCTTTCATAGAAGCCAGCATATATTTTGCACGGTCCATTATTTTTCATAAGCAATAATACAAATGTGCGGGTTTTTAGCAACTTAATTTTGTTTTCATTGTTTTCGTACAGTCTCCCCTTATCAATATTGCAATAAGATCGAATTGATTTGATTCATTTGGTTCTAAGAATATTTTTGTAGGATTATTCTTTCTGATTTCATACAGATCATTCTAACGTGCGAATTGTAGACGGTCCCGGGCCATGGCTAGGGAGACTTGAAGTTAAGTCTAATAATGCGTGGGGAAGTTTTTGTTATGATTCCTGGGATCCTTCCAATGCATTGAGAGCGTGTGAATCAATGGGATTTAAATATTTGTATGTATATGCAATTATCTAGTTTAGACATGTATTCATTTACAAGATAATGACAAAGTGACCTTAAAACATACTTATTTTTGCCGAAATGGACATTTATTTTTATTTCAGTACTAATACCAGTACCAAAACCAATTGGCTTATAAAATTAGTTTAACTTTTATACATTTCCTGTTAGTTTAAAAGCATTTTCTTCAACACTCTACTCCTTGTTACTGGTTATTTACAAAGCAATATTATGCAAAACAATGCCTCTTGTTACTTTGGACAAAATAATATACTAGTACATACTGAATTTGTAAGATTGTTTTTCAACAGTTTCTTTTTTTTTTTAAAAACACAATAGGAGCTCGGATGCGTCAAGTTTTGGAACAGGGCGCGGTCTATCACCAATGCATATTAAGTCATTAACTTGCAATCCGTCAGATCAGAACATTGGACTGTGTACAGCAGATTTCAATGTAAGCGATTGTGAACGAACAAATTCAAAAGCTGTCGGGATTGATTGCTCAGGTATTAATATAATCTTCATACGACCGATCATTTTAATGACAATTTATTATCTTATCATCATCATTATGACACAGTCATTCGTCTGGTCATTGTCAACCTTAACACCATTATTGTCTTAAACCATCTTTATCATATCTATGTTGTTGACAATAATATTGTTATTATTAATAGAAGTAGTAGTAACACCATCACATTATTTCTTTTCTTTGTTATTGTTTTCATTATTATCATGTTTGTCACCAGTAACGCTGTTAATAATCTATATTTACTATTATTTAAAAAAAATCTTATTTGTATTTCTTATATCAGGCGGAATCAATGCAACCTTGTCTAATACATACTCTGGCGAAGTTATTTTTCAAACGCTGGAAAATGGAACACTGAAGCAGTGGTCAGTTTGTTATGACACAATAGATAAGAATGCTGCAAAGACGATTTGCTCGATGGTTGGATATCAGTAAGTTCGATGGGTGGTTAAATAGTTCGTACCTGAAAGGTTATATTTCCTGATTTAAACTATAATTTTACTGTTAGCGTTGTTTTGATATTTTATTCACCATCTCTCTGTATCCAGAACGAATAACATCTGTTCGTATATTTTAAAATGGAATAAGAAAAGTACAGGTGTATCTAAGTATTTTTAATATAAAATAATATCACGCAACAAATAAAAGGAAGGAAAAGATAAAATACATGTATAGTGGCATTGCACGTATATCATCAACATTTGTATTTATTAGTAATACAAGTCCAAAGGTTTCTGTGATCTCCTCAAGCAATCCTGTATTATTCACTAATGTGTCGTGTGCTGGTAAGGAATCACATCTGCTACAGTGTGACACAATACGGACGGGGCCAACCTGTGCTAGGAAAGCTGCAGTAAATTGCTTTGGTTTGTATTTCATATTGGTATAATTTTCTTGATAATTTGAAAACATAATTATTATAGGACTAAAAGTCATTTCGTATCCTAAAAGCTAGATTCATATGTGAATTTAATATGATGTTATTCGACTTATATTAGAAATTTTCGAGTTTTCCTTTCTATATAAAGATAAATCGAAAATAGAAGGTCCTGTGCTGAAGCAAAGTTTATAAACAAAAACTCGTTCAATATATTTTAGAGTATTAGGGGCATTCAATCTGCACTTTTTGTTTTCTTTGGTCTTATATGTGCCCTGGTAGGGAAATGCAAATTTTCGCACCTCCCGTACTTTCTCCCTTCCTGTCTTAATGAACAGTTTTGAGATGTACATTGGGCTGTTTGAACAGCCTCCACTCGCTTGTATTTGCAGTTTAAACTTTTAACTCCTTCTCATCGATAGAGATCATTAACTTAAATATCATTTGATGAAAAACAATGTATTCCAGACTGTGTAACAACTTACAATACAGATCATGGCAATGTTCTGTCGCAAGGTTATCCAAACTATCAACCTAACACCGACTGTCTAATTGTTATTAAAAAACAACCAGGAACTCCACTCAAACTTGAATTTCACGACCTTGATCTTGCTGGAGACGGTGACTTTGTCGAGGTATGGCCAAACTTATTTTGAGAAAATTTTGAAATGTCCTAGAAAACAGTGGTTGAAAAGTAAGAAGTACCATGTATGTGTTTGTGTTCTGGTTTAATGATATCGTATAATTATTAGTTGGATAATATACTACAGAGTTATGTCTTCTTTTCTGACTTCAGTTTTTTTAAGTTTTTTGTTGTAAAAAATAACAGCAATGATAAAAATTATAGTGACTTAACAGACATTGACATATAAGACAGTGCGGTTTACGCGCAAGGTAGTGTGACACAAGTATGGTGTATACCTGTGACAAAGGAAAATCGAGACTTAAGTCAGGTTTTGATTTAGTGTACGATGTTATATCCATTTTAAATACAAATGACAATGTTAAGAATTTTTCAAAGAAGACAGCCTTCATCGTCGAAAGGTGTTCTAGCTTACGGAACATCGGTGGTTTTACTCAGGTGCCCGAATTACCTAAACTGTCCGTTGACATATCACTTACCGGTGTTGGTGTGATTTAATCATAGAATAAAATCAAGATATTGGCAGCAATTATTGCCTTTTAGAACTGTATTGATTAGCTTTATAATAGAGTTTCGTTAACATTCAACAACTTGCTCCTCACAGCTATGGGATCGAATCCCGACAGTGACTTTCGATTCTTTCATGCGAGGAAGTTATCCAGCTAGATAACAAAACGTCCGTTGTTCTCATCATGAACCTTATCGTCCCTAAAATAGTTGAGATCTTCCTAGGATCACCAGCAAAGCATGAATGTCGCATTATGACCTTAAAGGTATTGAGGCGACGATAAACCCAACCAAATATAAAATGAGATGTTTATAAATATACTTACTTTTCAGGTTAAAGACGACATCGGAAAACAGCTCGGATATTTTACCACGAATGTTGACGTTCCTTTCTTAGCTTCCAGAGATGGTTTTATTATTCGATTTAATTCGAACAATGCCAGTAATGCGAAAGGATTCAATGTATCATGGAGCCGTAAGATTGGATTCTATTATTTTTGTTATGTAATGGTCTTTCTGTAATCATTTCGCCAAGTATACACATTATATTAACATTTACATGTCGTAGTCCATTGAAGGACAAACAACGCAATATCTTTCTTTTAGTAATCATTTGTCATAAAAGCATGCGTTTTGTCACGTTGTTATGCCTTTTTGGATTCACGCTTCAAATGCAGTGTCATGTGCTATTATTTATCTTCAATGTTGATATAACATTTAAAAAATCAGATCAAGTTTAATATAGCCTTTGTACATTATTTGCAATGTTCAGACAATTGCTGTAACTATTTTCAGCATTAGCTATAACAGACGCTGTTCACATGGGATGTGCTTCAAAGGGCTGGAATGTCACTGTCAACTCTACCATCCTCAGACATCTTTATCCAGACACTGGAGTGTCACAAATTAAGCTCGCCGAACAATTCTGTACTGGCGAAATCCTTGGAGATCTAGTTGTGTTCACGCAAAGCTACACAAAATGTTCCACAACAACACAGGTACATATGTAAATTGCGTAGAAGGGACATTGTTAATAACATTTTTCATAATCACTGTTCTATGCAAAAATTTGAAACGAATTGTTGTTAACATTGTTCTCGTCTTTTATTTGAGTAATTACATAACAGAAAAGCATTCATATAAACACTGTAATTGGCGTAAAAACATGGATACATTTAAGTCTTTTCGAACAGAATATTTTATTTTCGAAAAAGCCCATGTCCATATTTACATAATTATTGCGATTAAATAGAAGACCGCTTGTTTCCAAATGCGATGACAAAATCTTTCAATACAATATCGAATTATGAGTTTTGTATATTTGTAAGAACCACTTTGAATAACACAATTCTCTATTTTCTCATATTTTATAGTCTAACAATGAGACCTTGATGTATTTCAATCATTTGGTATACCCAGAGTCAAGAACGCCATTTCCTGTCATCGTCCGTGGATATAGATGGAAGGTAAGTAAGATTTTTCTCCCTTTGGTAGTTGTTAACTAAAGTGTCTAGCTTCCCGAAATGTACAAACTTTTTGATTGGTTATTGAAAAAAATATTCCAAACTGCATGTATGAAAGAGCTATGTTCGTATAATTCTTTTTAACCAAACCCCGCATGCACGAATAATTGTCAAACGGCTGAAACCCCTAACTAAATTAGCAATAGGATTGTTTTATTCTGTTTATGAACAGTTCTCCTGTGCTGTTTCAATTCCATTCAAATGAACATGACGCAAAAGATACAAAGACTTTTTTTCCATTATCTAACTAAATTTCAGTGCAAATATGTTACGTTAAAGATCTCCTCGTTGGATACTTTTGTTTGTTTTCAGTATAATATAACAAAATGAGTTGAATACGCATTTATCATTTTCCTTAATCTTATACATTCTAAAAATTAGTTTGTTTTTGTACAATTTTATATTGTTTTTAATGTAAAGGTTGCTGTTCAATGCGATGTGTCAAGAGTGGAGGAGGTTTCTAATAACTTCAAACCCAACCGTACAATTATAAATGAGAACCAGCATGTCAGTTCGTCTTCTCACTATAAGTCGGATGTTTTTTTCTTCTCTGATGGAACATTCTACCAGCAAATCTTTGGAAATCCAATTTCGTTAAAAACAGGTGAGGACAAAAAATGGATAGTAATGGTTACGACGATAATGATAAATTTAGAATCACATGCAAGTTTGAAATAATGATGAGAATTATTATTATCATTGTCATTATTATTGTCATTATTATCATCATCATTATTTCTATTATTATTATTATTATTATTATTATTATTATTATGTTAATGATGACGATGTTTTTTATATTTTAAGATGATGATTTAAGAAACAAATATATATATTTCTGAATGCCGCTTACACTTTAGGTGAAAAACATTGCAATGACTAGCTCCTATCCCATACGAACATTACGAACTTTTTCTCGTTTAGAAACAAAATGCACAATATTAGTGCTACTTTATATACAAGTGTTCATAAGCAAAACATTCAAAATCGTCCAGGAAGGCATAAATTATAGCTAATCAAGAATCGTTGTATTAATTTATTTATAACTGAATATGAATTTAAAGATTATTTGTTTTGCGTCTTATATATAATTTGTGAACATAATGTGTTTATTGTTTATACTCGTAAGGTGATAACGTGTACGTCTCGGTGAAGATGAACTCTGACGATGTGCAGGTGAAGATGCGACTTCATACATGTTACACAAAGCCGGATCCAAATGCTGATGCAACACTGACGTATCCATTAATAGAAAACGGGTAACCAAATCAAAATCAATTATTCGTGACCCTGTACTGTATAGCTAAATAATTTGGGCCAAAGAAATTTAAAAAAACAACATAAAATGGAAAAATTTAAAAGCGCTCAACATTGCAAAATTGTAAATGGTACATGTCCCAATTTATGTTTGACCTGATACATATACATGTTTTAAAGCATAACATAACATAATTTGAAGAATGTCAAAATAAAACAAAAATGAAATTATTTTAATAATATGGCTATGTTGACCTAAAACTCGAATGTAAGTAAAACTCATTTACTTTCTTTCTAGGTGTGTGACTGACCCAGATACGCATATTCTCTCTCAAGGGACACACGAAACTCGTTTTGTGTTTAACGCTTTCGAATTTCCGAAAAGTCATAACAGCGTGTATATATTCTGTAACTCGACGTTCTGCAAGACTACGGACACAAGTGAGAGATGTACACAAGTTTGCCATGGCTCACCGGCACTGGTTGGACGTTCTCTTTGGTCTTTGGAGTACTACACTGACCACTTCAAGCGACTGTTGAACTTTGGCAAATATGGATACATCAAGCTTTTTAAACTTTAAAGCATCATTCACAAGTTTGAATGAGGTGTTATATTGAAACATTACACAATGTTTGATTCCGATTTTCCTGTCATCCTTTGACAAAAATAAATGCAAATCGACGCAGAATATTCAAAGATATTTCTACAAATAAACAATATTCCTTTTAAAGAAACGTCCAAAATTATGCCAATAAAATGATCGATATAATTATGACCTTCATTGGAATGAGATTATTAGGTTTTATCAAGCATATAATTTTCTGCCAGTTTCAAATACAGTAATAATTTATTTTCATCTATGAAAAATATCATTCTAGTGTAACTCCGTTGATCGCTGTCTTTAGTCTTTGTATTTCATGGCATCTTTCATTAATAATGAAGCCTTAATGTGTAAGCGTATCCTTCTGAAGGAGAAAGAACATAGTTGCAAGGCATTTTTTCTGTGTTTTATCTCCAGTGTTGAAACATATTCTTCAAACTCTTTGGCCATCATACGAGCTTTGTACACGTCATCAAGATCGGCCAATGTATCAATGAGGTTGTAGAATGCAACCGCCTTTCCCGGGATGTATGACAATCCAGTTGAAACATTTTGTTTCCCTGGCAACGTAATTTGAACCAACGCATCGTCATCTTCCCTTTTCTTACTTATAGAAACAGCTTTAACAAATTGTTCTTCAGCACGTCTTAGGGTTATTTTTTGGTCTATCAAAAAACTGCCATACGCAAAATGCAGTGTAGGAGAATCGGAGATGCACTGCAGTGCCTGTTGAAAATATTCATTTGCCTTTGTAGATAATTCTTCCTTTCTGGTTTTGTCTTCTTCAAAATCTATCTTTGCTGCAGTTAAACACGCAATATTTGACAATGTTTCTGGATAGTGTTCGATCACGAAGCACTTGTCTGCATCGAGCATTATCTGAAAGAATGCCAGTGATCGCTCAATCTGTCCATTCTGCATATACTGGATTGCTGTCGGCTTAAGAAGCTGTGGTATGCTTGTTGAACCAAACAGATTAGAACTTTGTCGGATAAAAGGTTTCACCGATGTGTTGAGTTCAATAATTGCACTGAAACACTTCAAAGCAAACTTAGGAGCATCATAATTCATTAATCCAAGTTCATTAAGCAGTTGTACAGAACTTGTGAACAATGTCAACATAAGCTGTAGTTCACCCCCTGTTGTAAACAAACCCGGTTTGTCCTTTCCTATTGCAAACAGCTGCATTTTCATACAAACATTTGCCAATGCTTTGAATGGTAACTCTCTGAGTTTTTGCATTTCTTTCAACGTATTCGTAACGTTTTCCTTTTCCTTATGAAATATCATATTGTTGTATGGGAGGAAATAGTGAGGTATATTACCATGCTCTAAAGCTGTACAGATGTACGAAATCAGTTGTAGAATACGGTCTCCAAGCTGTTCGTCCTCCCAACCTTCGTAGCCGTATTGTTGCTCACAGAACCAGAACATCATATTCTTAACCATGTATGACGACAAAACAGCATCTGGTTGTAAACTTGTTTTGACCAAAAGCTTCACTATACAGTAGCAGATTTTCTGGTTTTCGTTTAAATGGATCGATAATTTCCTCTCTGAACTGTTGAATGAAAGTCGCCATTCCTTTTCTTGCTCTTCACTTGTGTAAAACCCGACAGGTACTACTGCGCAACCATCTAATAACAAAACAATGACATTTTCAACCTTTTTGTCATCACGACAACCAGGAATTATCATCCATTATTATTATAGAAAGTTGTCTGAAAGACACAGGTGCCCTCTCTTTATAAGGACGCCGAATAGTAAGAGTAAGTAGTTATGACAGGACAGCATAGTTTGTATTTCATAATCTTGTTTTGCAAAAATGACCTTTTAAAGTAAGAGGACAGATGGCTGTTGATAAAAACAGATGCTTTTATATTTACAATATTTATAATATTACAGTGCCAGAGCACAAGTTTCTCGGTTAAGTCTGGAGCATAAAACATGCTTAATAGTTTTTCTTTAAATAAGTAACAGTTTTTTTTACAAATAAAAGCATCAATTATTGAAACTGCTTTTGTTAACCGACTATAAAATCCCTTGATGCATTACAGAGTCAGACCGGACAAGATTTTCTAAGTGCTGACATTTGACCTCTAATTGTAATCTTAATCTTGGTGTACATGCCTGACAATGTTTCAAACTCATACACTCTATATGCCCCTTGCAATTATCATGGCGGGCAAAAAAGGATATACTATTTAAAAAAAAACTAATGAATGAAATTGAATATATTACCTGGTATATTATAGAATCGATTCCATTTACAAACAGTCTTTAGATTGATAATAATTCAAATCAATTTTCTGTTCTAGAAAAAGTATAATTTTCAGATCCGCCCCTCTCCCAATTGTTCAGACAGGGTAAGAATGCTTAAACAGAAACAAAAAATAGAACAATGCACCGTTAAAATAAAAATGACGAAAAAAAACACATCAAAATGTTTTACCTTTGATCATATCATTTCGGATCGCCTCATTTGGCCAGTTTGCATCTCGAGGGCGTTTGTTCCATCTGTGAGCCACTTCCGGCCACGTGGCACACGGAAAAGCATGTACAAAGTCGTATGTGTAACCTCTATGCTCGTTTTCATAATTCGATATAGCAGGTCCACTTGCTATGAACTTTGTCTCGGGGAGTCTACTATAAATAACTTCCGTTGCCTGGTCCATCACTACACCTTTCGAAAAGGCATCATTTAGTAGGAAACCCTCTTCGTCAATGTGCTTCAGAAGCTTAGATTCTTTTTCTTTCAGCATCGTGTGACCTTTTTCTGTAACAAAAAGTTTTACATATCCCAGATGCTTTGAAGGTAACATAATGAAAGCATCGTGCGATCCTATTTTTTCGATCCTGATCTTGCCATTGTAATCCATACCATCTTTGACCTCGCCTGTTAAATCCTTGACAGTAAACTTTTTGTATACCATCATAAAATCAAAGTCGGTTGCGGGATAAAAGATCACGTTCTTGTCGTATGTTGATACATTTCTGCACATATGTAAATCATCATAGGAACTTCCGGTTTGAACAATTTCCATTTCATCTTTGGAAGTTTTCTTTACCATTTCAACGTACAGCATGAATTTAGATCGAATTAATTCGAACGTCGTTCCAGTGGGCTCGTGATGCTGTATAATTAACGACAGAGCTTTGCATATCCCACCAAGAGGTCTTGAAAGATCCATTTCTTTACAATTCAAATATCCAATATATCTTTCACGTGTGTATATTCTGAATCCTTTATGCTCGCTGTTACTGAAATGATGAATTTATTAAAGCGTTTTAAAAGCCTGGGCTGTAAGATCACTGCCGTCTGAACACATATTAGGCTGTTTCTTAATTTATTTACATAATTATTTGTGTTGACTTCTGCTTTAATTGGAAAAAGTAAAATCTCTTAAGAACATTAAAAAAGTAAAAGGTGGAAATGCAGATATGGTTGTATTGTGTCTGTTCAAGAGATGATGAAATGTACAACATTCTCTCGCCGCTTAACATCGCTTACTTTAAGTCTGTGTTAGGGGTTTTTCACATACTTAGTGCATTACCCAGTGACCTCCGCCATAAGCAATGCCAGTCAAGCTAAGCCATAAACATTTCAATTTAGTAGCGTTGTACGTGTTTTGCGACTTCTGATGTTCACATTTTATTTTTCGTGGGATTATTATTTCTAATTAATTATTACTTGATCATTTCTAAATAATGGTTACTAATGGAATAAATTTCATTAAATGGAAACACAACCATGAGACTGAAATGAGAGAGAAAGCTAGAAACGCCTTTATCATGTAGACACATTTCCCTTTTTTCTTGATTTAGAGACTTTCTCATGCGTTCGAGGGATCACTTCGTTTCCAGATTTTTTTCTATTGTTTGGTTGTACCAATGTGTAATGCAGCTAAGGACAATTTACACCACTTCTGAGTTAGATTTTAGAATCTATAATCACATTTCTTTTTTTTAATTTGAGGTCAACGTTTGATACGTATACAGTGCACGAATGATGAGATTAGGTCGAAAAATGAAACTGTTTTAGAAATTAATGTACAGCTTCATTTATGACAGACTTGATACTACAACTGCGACTAGGGCTGAAATATGATTGTATGTTTCTCATCCCGCTATCTAAGTCCACCCGTTTGTCTCAGTAGGAGGCGCATCAGCTTAATAATGGAGACGCCGCTGGCGTAATTTTGACGTGAAAGCGTATCTCGGACATTGGGTCTAATAATCAGTTTTCCTCGACGATAATTCAGAAATCATGACATTAGTAGGAGGGCACTTGCTGGGAAATTCGTTATTACTAGATAGTTATCCAGGAAAGCCAGTGTGGTGACTCGACCGACAAGATATGACCAAAATTTACAGTTGTATTTAAAATCGGCTTAAAAAACAAACAAACATACTCTGCCACGAAAAGAATAATTTGATTGGAAAACAAAACAGTTTTGCTAAAAATGGTAGCAGTTACTGGTAGCAGAGTCTGTCAATGAAAATCACTATATTATCATTAGAATCATTATATTTGTCTCAAAAATAAAACTTTAAACTTCAAACAAACATTCACATTTAATCCGATATTTTGGATAAAAAAATACTTTACGTACTTCACTTCAGTGTTGTTATATTTTTCTGGCCATTCGGGATCATTGAGTCCAGAACTTTTAAGTTTGAGAATTGAGAACCGCTCAAGCCGTTACTAGGGGGCGTGAGGAATATTGCACTCTTTCATAATCCCTCATGTACAAACTCAATCAAACCTAGTCTGCAATTTTCAAGAAAAATTGGTGATTTAATGCTTCCGAGGGATCATTTTTTTAACCTGATATTTAAGTTTAGTTATATGGTGTTTATTATTAACAAAAAATGTTCTTACTACAAACATATCCTTTATCGACTAATATTTTAAATATATAGTTGAATCAGGCGTTGGTGTGTTTATTATAAATAAACTATACATACTTAACAACTATCGTTGTATCATAACATACACAATAATTTGTAAAAAGTTTGTAAAAAAGAAGAATATTAGGCCTTTTTGAGCCCTTTTGAAAAGGAAAGACTATTGAAGCATGCTGACTTGTTACAATTTAGCTTCACAGTCGTAGATCAATATAACATTTTACTGGTGAATATCACATCATATTCAATGGCTCACTAGTAATTAAATGTATGATGTATTTTACGTCATAATGAGTCACTAATTTTATTTTATTTCAGTTACTACATGTATATGAAATTGTATTACGTTTTGCGAGCTCCATATATATGTATGTATGTATGTATGTATGTATGTATGTATGTATGTATGTATGTATGTATGTACTTACAACAAGCTTTTATTTAATTAAAAGTATTATTTATGATAAATTGCCATTTCCACACTCGTAGTTTCGATATTACATCAAATCATCCAAACAGAAAGTAATTATAATCTATACAAGTAACTAAGATATATTCAAATACCAATACACATGTATTTGAAAAGATGAAAATATGATTTAATTAATTCAATACGAAAGTATATACATATACTAAACTGTTGAAATTTCACCATTATTGTAACATTAACTTACCTTGAGATCTATACTGCTTATCAATACTGTACATGTAAAAAAAAACAATACAAATCACATGATATTATTATTCATGTCTTTAAATAGATATGATCTACATAAAATATTCTACGTTCAATACGTTAACATTTCGTAAACCTCTACTGATATTCATTTATAAATAAAACAGTTTACCAATATCGCGGTACGTATTACATATTGTATAGACGATTTTAGTACGTACTGTCTGACTATAAGTATTCCTATAAGTATTCCTGTTAAGTTATGTTTTGTCAAACTTCGAATGAGGTCCTTGAACGCAATATAAATACACAAAACTGGTACGTACAGTATCTTTGTTTTGAAATATGGAAAGTAAGATCAACAAGGGGCTGCGTTAAATAAACGCAACCTCCACACGACCCGGCAAGGAGCCCAGCAGGACTACAAAGAAAAGCAGGACAAGGCAAACCCAACCATAAAAATAAGACATGTAAGCAAGTTTGTGCTCGAATTAACTGAACCATTTTAATACATAACATCGTGTTAAAATCAACTTTTAACATGATGTTTATTCATTGATATAAAAATAGATGTACAAATGCACATTATCATGTTATGAGGTGAAATAAGTTGAATTAGATAATAGTTAGATAATGAAAATACGTTGCATAATGTATACTAGGGACGGTCAGAAAATATCCGGACCTTTCATGCTCATCTTTTTCCACGTGCAGCTATATACACACATTATATTTTGGTGAAAACTACATTCATTCGCCAATAACGTGGTCAGTTTATTTTAAATGATAGTTGTGTATACACAGTATTTTGCCCTCTGATATATGATAGGTGTTCCGTCTATCTTGGACTCTTTGTTAGAGGAACAACGCTCTGTAATAAAGTTTCTTGTTGCAGAAGGTGAAAAGCCCTGCCACATCTTTCAGAGGCTTAAAAAAGATTTTCTGATAAATGTGTATCACGTTCAACCTTCTACAACTGGGTTTCTCAGTTTCGTGAAGGCAGAACAAGTGTTTGTGACAGGCCTAGGACTGGGCGGCCAGTTGAGGCGGTGACCCCAAAAATGGTAGCAAATGTTAACGCTTTTGTCAACTGAATCGTCGAGTAACTTTGGATGAGGTAGCCAACAAGTTAAGCATCGGTAAGGCATCGGCACACAAGATTTTACACGAAAACCAAGGCATGAGCAAGGTAAGTTACAGGTGGGTGCCGCAGATCAAAAGGCAACCAGAGTAACCAATGCAAAAGAACATTTAAGTCGTTTTAATCGTGAAGGAGATAAGTTTTTGAACCGCATTATCAATGGAGATGAGATGTGGGTTCATTATTCCGAACCTGAGACAAAAGCTCAGTCAAAGCAGTGGAAACGAGCTGGTTCCCCACCTCCTAAAAAGTTTAAGCTGTCTCCTTCGGCTGGCAAAGTCATACTTGTTGCCTTTTGGGATTCACGAGAAAAGCTGAAGCAAATGCGTCCCAGGTTAGCACAGAAAATGTCCTCCTTCTTCACGATAACGCCCCCTCCCATACCGACGCAGCTACTTTAGTACTCAGTCTATGAGAAAAGGCCAGTAGATCTGATACTTCTAGGTTAAATAAGGCTTATAAAGCGGTCAGCAATGCGAACGTACGGCTGAAAATACATGACTTATAAATCAGAAGCAATTAATGGCAGAAGTCCTCAGATGTCCTCAAAGTCTTCGGATCCCTTCGTGTTCTCGCTAGTATAAAGTCACACTCCAAAATACGTCAATTCTAATGTCCGTCTACTTGCTAACGATACTTCAACATATATTGTTTTAATAGCAAACTAAAACGTTAGTCCTCAAAATAACTTAAAGCTGCACATCTTCATGTGAGCCAAACTATTTCAAGAAAATCAAACTTGAGAAAAATGTACTTAAACTTTAAGTGAAGTAAAAATAATCAAGATTCAAGTAATAGTTTATATATTGTGTGTGACTAATGGCTGATTTTGTGGTATTTATTATTATATTTCTACTGCGTGACTAACGCAGTACGGGCTATTATGAATATTTTGTCCTCTTTCTAGTAATTAACATAGATCGTAAATTAGTAATTAACTTTCTTACTTCACTTTGCAACATTTTACTTTTAAATACATGTTTAAAATTTTCATGAAAATAAGCATGAATCTGAAGTTACGGCGCTTTTTTATAATTTTATAAAAATTTAGTACCGCTCGGGCCTGTGCTAGGGGTGTGAGGGATGTTTTCATTATCCTTCATGTACAGACTTAATCAAATCGAGTCGGCAATTTTCATGTTATATTGTGTTCTTTAAATGCTTCCGAATGATCACCTTTTTTCCGATTTTATTTTTACTTCACAACAGCAGGTGTCGGGTACCGTGTGGCCCGTACTTCACTTCAGTGCTTTTACATTTTTCAGGTCCTTCAGGAACACCGATTCCAGCAGATTGCGTGTTAAAAATGAAAACAGCTCAAGCTGGTGCAAAGTTTACAATTTTTTCATCGTCCCTCATGTGCAGACTTATTCAAACAGAGTCTGTAATTTTAATGTAATTTGTTGTTTTAATGCTTCCGAAGGATCATCCCTTTTCCAAATTTTAAATCGGATAGAAAAGTGAAGGTTTGAATTGGACAAGAAATTTACATCCCCCGCCCAAGTTCTAAGTATTATTTAATTCACAAAAAGAAAAATCATTCCATCCCAACACAATACTGCCTTCATGGAGTACTACAGGAATCGGTTCCCTTAGCGAAATGTTTAGGCGTGGTTATCTCAAATAACCTTACATACATGTAGCTCAAGTCAAGTCAGGTAAATTTTATTTATAAGTCGGATACATAAAATTATAACAAGCAACTCGCAAAGACAATGACATCTTAGAGAGAAACCAAATATTAGAGTTCCGACGCAGAAATATAAAGGCCAAATCATAGTCCATTAAGCCCATACCTTACCAGATATTAGCCAGACTCAAGCAGGAATATGTTTGCAAACTATGGCCTCCTTTCGTCAAAACAAAAATAGGTCAAAGAAGATCAAGCAAGATTATGATCAGCCCTATAGCGTTACGGACATGTCCACTCCCTTACTATTACCAGACTTGACTTCAATTCATAGATACTAGTTTACCCCTTAACAAGATATATTCAATACTGTCATGCTTCATAAGAACACGAGACATAAAATACAAAAGATTTAAAGATTTATTCAATACTGTTATGGTTCATAAGAACATGTGACATAAAATACTAAATTGTGAACAAGTAACAACCGGAACTCAGAAAATATGAAAACATAAAGAATATACTAAAAAACAGGAGAATGAGTGACAATTATAATTTATTGTATATCTACCCGTAAAATAAGAAAGATATGACTAGATTCTTAATCAAAAACTATGCTTCATTATCAAAATTTCTAGGAGACTAATGATACAACATTATACTTATTATTTGCATGTTGTTATAATTTCTGAAAGTTACAAAATAAAGCAAGGTTTTTTAAATGTAGTTTGTTTTTACTATCCATAAGATCATCAAACTTCAATGCATTTAGGATACCTATAATAATACGGTTTAATATATTAACAAAATGTGAACTAGTGAAATTGGTCACCCAGTTGGTTTGACTCACATAAAGTATATATGCGTAAATTGTTCTCTATATTTAGGAATCCACCTTTCTCAATTGGCATTTTATGATTCATAAACATTTGCCAAGGAATTGTGTTAAAATAATCTTTGAATACACACTCTGATTATATAAAGGGTACTCTAACCCTTTCCCCCATGAGCATTTTGTGAAAAATGGCCGTTTTCACTGAAAAGCCTCCTGTTACAAGTTCAAACTGCTATGAAACTATGAAAAATGCTTCAATACTAATCAAACTTGACACAAATGTTGACTGGACCATTGCCTTTGTAACTACATGCTCAGTCTTAAATTTCCTGTTACCATGGCAACGAGGGGACATCTCAAAATTGCCAAAAATCACTATTTTGCCTCGATTTTTTCCATCAAAATTTATTTCAAAGTGCTGCAACTTCTCAAGGGATTGAGATAGAGTCAAAGGCTTTTCAGCGTTGGTTACACGTTACCTTATGATCGACCTGGGGTCATTTTTAGCCTCTCACAGGTCCAAAATTTTCTTGGCGATGAGGGGGACTCCGCCCTCCTTCAAACCCCCCAAACAGAAGGGGGCACATCCCCCTTCTGGCAACGCCCTGATGTATCTTTTGGATGGGGGGTGGCGCCGAAAAAATGCTCACTTTTTTAGCAACATTTCTCAAACGAAAACATGTGTTTGGGGCCCCAATAGGACATATTTTCACTATTTTAGACCTAAAAAAAAGGGGGGGGGGATCGAAAGTGCGTTGTTTCGCGTATATATGAGGTAAAGGGTTAAACATTTGCTTTCAGAGATTGGACATCACTGTTCCACTGGATGGACTGATCTTGAGGTTTGGACTTAAGAATACTTTTGAAATTAAAAGGACTATGTCAAATTGACTAAACCAATAATTTGATAAACCAAGTTCGTCCAAAGTATCCTTAACAAAAGATAGCCACGTAATTCAATATTCTATATCTAAATATACTGAGTATACAGTCTTATGTAAATTATTACTAATCTCATCATATTTACCATTCAAAAGCTTACAAAAGTAGTTAATAATAACATGCAATTGGGAGTATTTTGCTTTAGGTTAAGTATATTTTTTTTAACTTTAAGCTGAAACTGATCATTACACTTTAAATTTTCTATTCCCTAAACTTTAGAGCCATAACAAAGAATATGAACAATCATTGTGTTAAACAAGTGGATCTGTAGATCTACTGATAGTAACAATTTTCTAGCTTTTTAATAAAAGAGAACATAGCTTTCTTCGCTTGATCAATAAGACGGTTTCTAGTTTTAACAAATTTACCATTTTCCATACATTTAATAACTACATGTACTAATTCTAAGTTCTTATTGTCAAAAGAAAATTGAGGTACATCTGCCATACGATTCCTGTCCCAAGAAAATATTACAACCTTTGTTTTTGCAGAGTTCACTTTTAAATTATCAGGGTCATTTACATCACCCTTATTTTTATACAATGGTAAAATCACTCCTTTATTCCATATCTCTGGGAAAAACTAGATTCAAGAATAATATTAAACTATTTGAAAAACATAGAAAGCATAACAACTTCAGAGCTTTTCAAATACTCGTTCAAAATGTTGTCAAAAAACAGACGACGCTTTAGGGACCATTCTTTAAAAAAATGTGAATTTACGGTAGTTTTGGTAGTTAGATTTCCTTTCGGTTGAATATATTT